ACCACTCTCAATAAATATATTGTTTCTATAGGCAACAGTTCTTCTTCCTTTAAATTAGTGGGTAAATTTAGCAGTTTTGTCCACCAAAAATACCCTTTATTCATTCTTTTCTTTCTGTTTACCTGTCATTGATTTTTCTAACTTTCAGAATTATTTTACTGAGTGCCTACTTTATGGTAGGCAGAGTTCTGGAAGCAAAGTACAATTATTTCTGCCCTAAGCAACTCATAGGAAACTAAAAGATAAAGACAGTCAAGAGATTACATTGCCATTCAGTGTTGACAGAACAACAACAGAAATCATATACAACGTGCAGGCAGCTATGAAGATGGCCTGAGCAGCCCTTCCCCCCCTTCCCAAGGGAGGATACATTAAAGATGAGCTGGATGAACAATAAGAAGGAGGCTTACAGGTCGGCAAGACTGAATGGAGGCAGGAAAGGAAGGGAGGGTGTGTAAGCAATGGAGACTACAGGAGTGCATGAAAGAAGCACCCAACAATCCCATCGCTTTACTCCTTCATTACCAAAATGGCTATCAGCTGGTCTTAAATTCTCCCCCTTATCCAGTCCACTTGAACAATATTCACAAATCAATCCTCCATAAGCATAATTTGATCATTCCCACTGTACTTCTCAAGAATCCACATTGTCATAATTTATCATGGTATACTTAAACTGCAGCTTCTTATTTAAGGACCTTAGGATCTGTTTCCAAATTTCATTGTCTCCACTATGACTTACAACTCCCCTACAAACCTGCTAATTGGTCTATATTCTTGTTGCCAGGAGGCTGAACCTTATCTTAGACTCTACTTAGATTATTCCTTAACCAAATTCTATTCATGCTTGGGATCCAGTTTACTGTCTTTCTTACCCCTTCCTTACCTGCTTCAACTTGCCAAAACTGTGCAATTAGCGTAACAGACTCCGAGTTTTACATATAGATAAAACCTTGGCCTCATTGATCCAGCTTCCTTGCCTGTACACATTTCTCAAATAGTGAGTGAGCCATGCTTTCCTTCACTCATCCAGGAGATACATGTGTGTGATACGTTATATGTAATTCTCCTCAAACTAAATGTCCCACACTAAACTCATTTTCTTCTCCATTCTCTCTTTTCCTTCATCCTCTTTACCAACATCCTCCAAACTTTTTTTCCTCTTCCTCTATACAGTACAATATATCCCAATCTGGAAAATTCAGAAGCATTCTTGCTATGATTTGAATATGATCTGTCCACTACAAGACTTGTGTTGAAATTTATTTATTATTTATTTTTATGATTGTTGTACTGTGGGTGCATTGTGACATTTACCAAAGTTCTTACAATATACCATAGTTGAATTCACGCCCACTATCGTTCTCCTTTATCCCCACTCCCCCCACCCATTCTTGGAATAGTTTCAACAGGCTATTCCCAATGTAACAGTGTTGAGAAATGGTGGGGGCTTTAGGAGGTGATTAGGTCATTAAGAGGAATTAATGCCTTTCTAGAGGGAATAAGTTTTCACTCTCATGGAACTCAGGACTGGATTAGTCACAATAAGGGCAGGTGGTTATAAAGCAAGCACATCTCTCATGTTTTCTATTTTTTATATACACCCATTGTCACCATATTGTGACACTAACACCAGATGCTAGTGCTGTATCCTTGGACTGCCCAGCACCCAGAGTCATGAGACAAAATAAACCTCTATTCTTTATAAATCGTCTAGTCTTGGGTATTTTATTTTAACAACAAAAAGCAGACCAAGACATTCCTCTACTTTTTCTTTTTTTCTTAACTTCCACATACAATTGGTCAACAGACTGGCCATTCTTTTTTAGAAAATATATCTTTTTTACAAAATATATCTAAACAGTCTATTCTATTCTAATTCCACCAGGGAAAGTCAAGCCATATGAAGAAAGCACCACCTTGCTTATGTATACTAATAAAGCATTTTTTTAGAGTTCCTATACACTATAGAGAGGTAGACCTTATAAAAATAGCATTTGAAAGTTCTTAGAAAAATCATTTTAAGAGTCCTAATGCAGACTGAAGATTAGCTCAGGGTATAATGTTTGCCTAGAACACACAAGGCCTGTGTCAGCAACATAGCTGAGAAACAGAGAAACAGAGACAGAAAGAGACCAGGTGCAGTTATTGGAGAGTAAATCAGCTATTTCTGACTCACAGTTTTAATGTGTTGGTGGAATACACTGATTCCATTTCCCAGTGAATTGAAGCATTGTTATTTGATGAGAAGACATTACAAAAATCTGCTTTGTTTTACAAACACTTGGCTTAGGTTTGAGGTTCTAGGCAAAAATTGGGGGGAAAACCCCTTCATGAATAAGGCAAGGTCTATGTTAAATTTAATTTTCAGTAGGGAGGTTAAAGGAAGCATCTCTCTTCCCCCTTCTGCCTGCTGCTAGCTCAGAGACTATACACAATCAGCGTGTAACCCCAGAGTCCCAGGCCAGAGGTCAGACTCTGCTGTTACATGTCAGGTCCAACCACCTCACCCCAAAGAAAGAAGCAGGAAGAATAGTGAAAAGTCAGGAAAAGACGGTAATCAGCATAGCTAAGTTGGGAAGGTAGAAAGTAAACATTTCAGCCCATCTTGGGGTACTGACATAAGCTTTTAGGTTTAAATAAAGGAAGATTTGGGGCAGGAGGCTAGAGGCATACATAATTAAGCAGTCTAAATCAAACTGTGGTCTGGTTGATCATTTTCTCAGTTCTGGTCTGAAAAGTAGCTGGAAGATTTCCTTATTGCTTGAGGAGATAATCCAGTTCCCATGAGGTTGTTGCTGCTTAGGCGTGGTCTCATCATGGGGTGATCTGTCTATAAGGCTCTGCCATTCATGGAATTTATGGTGGCTGAAGGTTTAGGACAATGACTAGATACTTTCAGCTGCCTTTTGGTGGGGGACATCCTGACAGATACCTTGACTGTGTGCCTCCAGCCTTGAAGGGGAATGAGATAGGTTGGCATCACTGGCTTTTAGACAGACACCTCTTGAGTGATTAGTATGCCAACATGGAGAGTTAAGCAGATGTCTAGCCCAAGTTTTTAAAACAAAGGAGACAGATTGAAAATGAAAGCAGGACTGCCAGGAATTTATCCTGCTTTTGGTTAATTTATGGGGCCAAATGGAGTGTCGGTGGTTTTTAGCCAAAGCAAGTTCTAAGTACCTGCTGTGGGTACTGGATAAGTCTACGCCCAGGCCTATTCTCAGACGAGGATGTTGCTCCTGACGCACTTCCATTGCTTCCTGCTTGCATCCACCATAGTTTTCTGTAAATTGTTTTTGTCTTCTCCAGGGAAGCCCTGTAAGCACTATTTTGTCTACAGTATTTGAACACAGATATCACGCACTCTTAGCATAAATATGCTCAAAAATAACCCATGAATGAGTGAACAATTGGCGAATAACCAAATTTTGAGGCAAGAGAGTTAGGTACTAGGGAGTCTGGACAAGAAGTTCTGCAGACCTAAATACATTGCACACATACTTTTGCAGAGAAGGACAGCAGGATTTCAGAGGTGCATGATTAAATGTGCCCTCTGTTCGACTTTTTGGTTTTTTTTTTTTTTTTTTTTTTGTCTCTGTCAAGGGGAAACTCAAACTACCAAAGCTCCCAAACTGCTCTGGCACACAGTGAACAAGCACAGCAGCCCAGCGCGGCCTCCACGTCGCCAGGGGGCGGTGCGCGGAGTCTGGCCGCTAAGGGTACCACGTCTGGAAGCATTTTCCGCCCTGCCGCCGGAGCGTCCCAGTGATGCATTTCCGGCTGGCGCAGAAGTGCACGTGCGGCCGGAAGGGAAGTAACGTCAGTCCTTTCGCTGAGCGGCCGTGCTTGCGTTGCCTGTGAAGGTGTCTGTCTGGCATCATGTCGTACCTGCAGATGAAACTCCTGCGCAAGAAGATCGAGAAACGGAACCTCAAATTGCGGCAGCGAAACCTAAAGCTACAGGGTGAGCTGCTGTGGGCTGGGTGGCCGAGGGGGTCCCGCGGGCGGTGGCGCGGGCAGCTTCCTGTGGCGATGCAGTGCGAGCCGACACCCGGGGCAACCTTCCATCTGTCCCGCGCCGCTGCCCCCTGCCGCGTGGCCTTAAACTGACCCCCGACCTTTCTCAGCATCATTTCATCCATCGAGTTGGCCATTGATAAGCCTTCCAGGCTTTCGGCAAGGCATCCCACTAACCGTGTCCTCGTGCACTTCACCTTGCCTGTTTTCACTTCTCCACCTCGCCCCCACCCCGTTTCCATTCAGATACGTGGGACTTTATTTCTATGCACCTTGCTTTCCCACCTTTTACACAGTTCCTATATTTCATCCTCCAAAAAAGCTTGAGTGGCATCATCATTCTTGTCACAGAGCTTTCCTGATGCCATTGCCCTTCTCTACCCATCTCCTCGCTCGCTCTCTCCGTTCCTCATTTTAAGTTCAGAAACGGTCATCTGCACACGTTGAAAGCAAAACTTTTCTGTCCCATTTGCTTGTCGCCCCCCAACTTCAGACTGTAAATTCCTTAAGAGTTCTTTGTGGACTGCACAGTGGTTTAAAAGGGTTTTTAATGAATGTCACCTTTCTTCTTGCCTCATTTGTGGTCCCAGTTTCCTAAGAGTGCACCAGTTATTGAAGTAATTGTGTCAACTGTTTAGGTTCCAAATAAGATAGAACTCCACAGTGAGGAATGTCAGGGCATATTGTCTCATCATAGGTGATTTTCAAAAGATAGTAATGTGAATTCTGAAGAAGGCAATGGGTTTGTGAACTCTAGGGATGTGTTTTGAAGTTTCCCTGCATTTCCAGTTCCTATATAATAGTTAGCCTTACTAGTTCTTGGCGCAGGTATAAGTAACAATTTGAACAAGTGATGGTGTTACTTACATTTTCTTAAACAAGAAAACTTTTGTAAAGATATTCTCGGGTAATTGTATATGACAAATATTGAGACATAATTGGCTTCACTAATAGTTTTCAGTTCACTGCAGTCTAGGAGAGTTGGGGTTGATTGAGAAATGGTAGTGTATGACTACAATAAATGTCATCCAATATGTTGGTTAGTTACATTTATCAAATTTCTAATACTAACATGTATATTTGGTCTTTTCAATTGTCTGATCCCATCTGTTTTTAGTATTTGACCTCATTAAAGTTCTTCTGTCCCAAACTTCTTAAGTAGGAGCATCAGATGTCAGCCTTTCAGAAACTCAGAATGGAAATATGCTGGAAGAAACAGTGAAAGTTGGAAAAGTTAAAAAAATTAAAAAAAATTCTGTGAATGTGGGCTTGTCAGAAGTACAAAATGGAGATGTGTCTGAAAACACAGTAGAAAATGGAAAAGTTAAAAAATCTCCCCAGAAATCTACTATATTAACCAATGGAGAAACAACAACACAGTCTCCTAATTCTGAATCAAAAAAGAAAAAGAAGAAAAAGAGGAAAATGGTGAATGATGCTGAGCCTGGTAAGTACCTCATTTTCTTTGGACTTCAGCCATTCATACAGTTTTTCACAAGTAGTATTCCACCTTCTATTATTTTTGTGTGTACATGATATATAAAAATCCTGTATGCCCTCTAGGATGCCAGACTAGTAACTGAAACATTTTACTTTTCTCAAAATATTCAGCAATATGTTGTGTTTTTATATTCTTTTACCTTGAAGGAAATCTAGAGAATCTTTCCTAAAACTAGGAATTTGCTTGGGGTGGGGGCAGTTAACTGGGTTTTTTAAGATAAACAGCTCATACTATAACAAAGTATTTTATTTTCCATATTTGTGAGTGGAATTGCATAATTTTAATAATGCTAAAGAAATGTGATCTGATAGTGGGATCTATCTTCCCAGATCTTTTTGTGTTAAGGGACTATTGGAAATTTAAGTATTTTATTTATTATTCCTTAGTCAGTTTGTTAACTTCTTAATAACCTAATAGTACTCTTTTTTTTTTCTTTTTTTTTTTTTCATTGTTGTTCTAGATGGGGGTACATTGTGGCATTTACAAAAGTTCTTACAGTGTATCAAATATATCATACTTAAATTCACCCCCCTCCATCATCCTTTATCTCCCCTTCCCCCTTTCCTGGAATAGTTTTAACAAGTATCATTTTTCCACTTACATACATGTGGACACAGTATTTGCACTATATTCACTCTCCCATCCACACCCTTGCCCCCTTTTCCCCGCCCCCCCCTTGCCTTTCATTGGTATCCCCCCCCACCACCACAGGACCTGTTGCGCTGCCCTCCTGTTTTTAAATTTTGCAAAAGAAAGGGGAAAAAAATAACGTCTTTGCTTATTTAAGATAGGTACACAGGAGGTTTCCCTGTGGTACTTCCAAGTATATATGTGTTATAGCCTGATTTGGTTCATCTCCTCTATTTTTCTTCTTTCTACTTTAGTTCCTTTCTTATGGTTGTTTCAACCAGTTCAAATTTCTGTATTCATTCTTGTATAGAGACTACATCAACCATATTCACCTCCTTAACTTCCTTCTTTTACCCTCCCCCTCTCATCTGTGACCAGTTTTTCGTAATATTGCTGCATTTGTATTAGGTCTGTAGTCCACTTGTGAGAGAAAACATGCAGCTTTTGGCCTTCTGAACCTGGCTAACTTCACTTAAGATAATGTTTTCCAGTTCTATCCGTTTACCTGCAAATGACAGAATTTCACTCTTCTTTGTGGCTGAATAAAATTCCATTGTGTATAAATACCACATTTTCCTAATCCTTTCATCAGTAGTGGGGAATCTTGGCTATTTCTATAGCTTAGCTATTGTGAATAGTGCTGCAATAAACATAGTTATGCAGGTGCCTTTGTTGTAAGCTGACTCTCACATTCCTTTGAGTATATCCCTAAGAGTGGAATTGATGGGTTGTATGGCAGTTATGTTTTTAGTTTTTTGAGGAGCCTCCATACTGTTTTCCATAGTGAATGTACTAATTTACATTCCCACCAGCAGTGTATGAGAGTTCCTTTTTCTCCACATCCTCACCAACATTTGGTGGTGGTGTTCTTGATGGTAGCTATTCTAACAGGAGTGAGGTGGGATCTTGGTGTGGTTTTGATTCGCATTCCTTTTTGACCAGGGATGGTGAGCAATTTTTAATGTGTTCTTCAGCCATTTGGACTTCCTTTGAAAAAGTTCTGTTTAGTTCAGTTACCCATTTCTTTATTGGGTCATTGATTTTTGGGGGAAGTTTAGTTTTTTTGAGTTCCCTGTATATTCTTTTTATCAAACTCTTGTCAGCTGTATAGCTGGCGAAGATTTTTCTCCCTTTCTTTGGGCAACCTCTTCAATTTGGTGACCCATTTCTTTTGTTGTACAGAAGCTTTGTAATTTTATGTAGTCCCATTTGTCAATCCATTCTCTTAGTTGTTGAGCTATTCGAAATCTATTGAGGAAGTCATTGCCTATACCTATTAATTCCAGTGTATTCCCTGCTGTTTCATGTGCTAGCTTCAAAGTTTCAGGTCTTACATTAAGGTCCTTAATTCACTTTGAGTTGGTACCTGAATTGGGTGACAGGCATGGCTCTAGTTTCAGTTTTCTGCACACATATACATCCAGTTTTCCCACCAACATTTGTTAGAGCCTGTCTTTTTTCCATTCTGTATTTTTGTCAGAAATCAGGTGGGCATAGCTGAGTGGATTCATTCTGTTCTGTTCCACTGACCTTCATATCTGTTTTTGTGCCAGTACCATGCTGTTTTTAATGCTGTTGTTCTGTAGTATAGTTTGACTTCATGTATTGGGATAACCTCCAGAGTTGCTGTTTTTGCTCGGTATTACTTTGGCTACTTGGGGTCTGTGCTTCCAAATGAACTGTAGGGTTGATTTTTTAAATCTCTGATAAATGTCATTGAAATTTTGATGGGAATTGCATTGAACTTTTGGTAATTGCTTTTGGTAATATAGTCATTTTCACAATATTGATTCTCCAATCCATGAGCGTGGGAGATCTATCTTGTCATCGTCTTCGATTTCTTTCTTCAGTAGTTTGTAGTTTTCCTTGTAGAGATCTTTCACATCGTTGGTTAAGTTTATTCCTAGGTATTTTATTTTTTTGAGGCTATTGTTAATGGAATTATTTTTCTATATTCTTTCTCAGTCTGTTTGTTGTTGGTATAGCGAAAGCTACTGATTTTTATGGATTGATTTTGTATCCTGCAACTTTGCTGAAGCTGCTTATGGTGACCAGGAGTTTTTTGGTTCCTCTCCACTTTGAATGGAGACTTACTTGCAAAATATATACAACAGCAGTTAGGGAAATTTTGAATAAATAGAACAATAATTTCCAACTTAATCAAATGGGCCAGATAATAGAGGAGGAAAGAGAAGGAAGATGATTGAATTTAACCTGGGTGAAGAAATGGGCATTTTAATTGAGCTGTGGACAATTGGAAATCTCAACTTAGGATAGGATGGAATCAGCGAACTATTCAACCTTCCACCTATTTTCTTAATTGAATCACAGCAGTGTCCGTTAGCTCACTTTGTCTTTATTGCAACAGAGACAATATGACCTGCAAAGCCGAAAGTATTCACTGTTGGCTCATTATAGAAAGTTTACCAGCCTGAGTTAGAACATCCTATTGATGTATCTTACCTGAAGTAAAGCATTTATTTAGAAAGAAACTTTGGACTTTTCCAAATGTACATGGCTGTCTTCATGCTGCATGTAAAGTAATTTGTAGCTTGTGAGAAATTGCATAAACAAAAAGTAAAAAGAAAGGGAAAATCTTAAGGGTTAAGAATTAGTTTTGATGTAACGTGATTGTAATCCTTTTCTAAAATTGTTAATGACTTCAGGATTCTTGTTGTGAGTATGTCCAAGGAAGTGACCTTATTTCTGGTCAGTCACTGCAGTGAATCCCAGTACTGGGTATTTTAATTATGTACAGACTGTAAGAACTATTCTAAAGAAAACAAAATTGATAAACCAGAGAGGCCAGGTGATAAAATCCATGGCTTTTGAGCAAGTGTATCTTAACAGGGTTGGTCATTTCCCAGGGCTGTGGCAGTAAAATACAGTGAAGAGGCCAGTCCTGGGCTACAAAGATTCCTCATTTCTGATCAAACTAGCATCAATAGGTGCCATAAATTTCTCTAAAAGTCCAACTTGGTAGTAAAACCATTTGACCCAGAATGGAATATGTAAGAGAGATAAGGGAAGTGGAACTAGATGGGTAGTTTGGGACCATTTTGTGGAAGTTGTGAATGTAAAAGCGATAAGCTAGGAAGACCTGTCTCTCCTCCCTCACCATGATTATTAGCCCATGTTCCATCACCCAGCTAAGTAAGTATTGCCCTTGTTTTACAGTCTCTCTGGAAACACAAGAAGCCTCTGATTTTTCTGTTCATCTTTAAAACAAAAGTGTTTTTTACAGAAAATGAATGGCATGAGTGGAGTGTAAGCAGATTTTTTAAATTATATTAATCAGATAGGTGCTTTTTTTTTTCCTCCAAAAGAAGGAACTCATCATTAGTATCCTTACATTGACTAGTGGAATATATAAAGTTTTCTTAGCTAAGGTAGTATATTATTTTAAGAAATCTAAAAATGTTTTGTTGACAAATCTGTGTGTACCCTGAGTTTTTAAATATAACCAGGTCTTTTTTCATGAAGAAATTCTTAAAAATACTGAATATATTAAGCTTTGGAAAATACACCTCTGCATCACAGATCTTTTGTGATATTTTTTTAATAAAAAAATTGTTTTCTCTTTTAAAACCAAAGATACTAAGAAAGCAAAAATTGAAGAAGGCACCAAGGCTTCTGAAGAAACAGAAGACAGTGTGGAAAAGCCAGGCAATGAGGAAGAGGACAGTGAAGTGCCCAGCCTGCCCCTGGGACTGACAGGTAACATCCTGGGGGTTTTTCAGTGTATCTTCTTAGAAGTGTCATGTTTCTGTTGCAAGATTGAAGGTTGAGCTGCGACTTAATTTATTTGGAAAAAGTAAATATATCTGTTGCTTTTTTTTCTCTTTATCTTCTACTATGTGGTACTTTAGTATTTTTGTTCTGTCCATGCCTAACACAAGTACTTTGATACGTGCTTTGCTTCCGGGATCCTTTTTTTTCCTTTGGTTTATTCTTTTCTTAGGCCCAATCCATGCTGCAATAGGAAAACCATTGACCCAGAAGTTTCATACAGACTCAGTTACTAATAAAGGGGAAGAATGAGGTTAACATTACTAAGAAACAGACATGCCAAGTTAACCTCCTTTAACCTTTTTTCTTAAAAAGAAATTAGACAAGAATTCACAGTTCCTGACCAGAAATGTCTAGGAATTACTTGAGCTCATGTTTGGTTTGAGCTTTTTTGTCTGTTTGCTTGCTTAATAAAATATTGAGGTCCAACCCCAGACATGCTTATTCAAAATTACAAAGGTTGGCTAGGGGTGTAGGTCAGTGGTAGAGCACTTGCAAAGCCCTGGGGGGAAAATTGCAAAAGTTATGCCGTGGTTCTCAACCAGAGCAATTTTACCTCTCAAGAGTGACTAACTCGTCTCCATTCGCCCAGAATTTCCCAGTTTGTTTTTTGTTATTTTGATTTTTGCTTTGCTTTTTGGTGGGACTGGGGCTTAAACTCAGGGCTTTGCACTTGCAGAGCAGTATTCTACTGCTTGAACCACACCTCCATTCTGTTTTGCTCTCGTTAGTTGGGACATGGAGGTCTCGCTGTTTTTCCAGACTGGCATTGTACTTTGATCCTTCTCTTCTCAGCTTCCCAAGTATAGGATTTGCAGGCATGAGCCACCGGCACCTAGCAAAATTTCACAATTTTAACACCTAAAGTCCTGCATCCCAAGAATCCCTTGGTCCAAGCACACCAGTAAGACTGGCCACCCTATTACTTGGAACATTGTTGGTTGTCAGAACTACTTATATCTAGAGGGTAGAGGTCAGGGATGCTGTACAGCCTGCCATAACAAAGAATTATCCTGCTTGAAGATGTAGCTCAAACTACATTCTGTGAAAAGCAGAATGGGTGTGTGGGTGTTCTTTCATACCAGCATAAAGTTGAAAATTTGTAAGTTGAGCCATTCCTCATAAGTTGGGGACCATTAGTGGTGCTAAGTCTGAAAACGCCTGGTGTACAGCCTGGGCATAGCAGGGTGGTGAGCTTTCTGGAGTATTTTGATGCCTTGCCGTGTTGAAGTACCACTGTACCACTTGACATGTGGGTTCAGGCTAACATTCAGTGACTCTCTGATTCTTCTCTGTTGTCTTTTTGGAGTGAGATTAACTACTTTGTGGTCAACTTTAGGCTCAGTGTTTATATGTTTAATGTTTTTACTTTTATAAGTAGCTCAATTATACCTCTTTTTTCTGCCCCTTATTTTGTTATGGTATAGGATCTAGACTTTGAATCATGTTAGCTACCAGCAATGAAGAGACTGTAAAAACTGCAGTTTTTTCTTACTGTCTTCAGTAGGTATGATTGGGATATAGTCTTATTGTAAAAAACAGTTGAGGTGACTATTAACAGCATTTAACATTTAAGGAAGTAAGTTTGCTAATGATGAACTGTCTCCTGCTTAGGTGCTTTTGAGGATACTTCATTTGCTTCTCTAACTAATCTTGTCAATGAAAACACTCTGAAGGCAATAAAAGAAATGGGCTTCACAAACATGACTGAGATTCAACATAAAAGTATTAGACCACTTCTGGAAGGCAGGTATGATTAACACTGATGCTCAGATATGCATGTCTATTTTTAGGAATATGATATTGTAAAGAAAATACCAAAGTGTTGTGTTGATTTAACACTTTGTTGAGTAGTATCCAGCCTGCATTAAAAACTTCTAATTTATTTGCTGATGTTTGAATAAAAGTGTTCACTTCTGTTCTGTAATACAGTTCTTTTTTCTGAGTTAGATATGTAACCCAGGTGGTTGATATCAGCGATAGGAAAGGCAGAACCTGCTCTTTCTTCATAGTCTAGCTTAGTGCGTAAAACACGTTATGCATAGTACATGGTGGGTTCAGTAAATATTTGCAAATGAGTAGATAAGATGTGTTTCTCTTTTTTTCCTTTTTTTTAATACTTAGGGATCTTCTAGCAGCTGCAAAAACAGGCAGTGGCAAAACTCTTGCATTCCTCATCCCTGCTATTGAACTCATTGTCAAGTTAAAGTTCATGCCCAGGAATGGTAAGCTTTTGATCTGTTTCTGTCATTATTTCACTAGAAGTGTGTGGTGGCTTTTGGGAATTCATGGTGACAACTGTGGTTTGTCTTTTTACCTTTTGTCATTTCTTGCCTTTTAGGAACAGGAGTCCTTATTCTTTCACCTACTAGAGAACTGGCCATGCAGACTTTTGGTGTTCTTAAGGAGCTGATGACTCACCACGTTCACACGTATGGGTTGATCATGGGGGGCAGTAACAGATCTGCTGAAGCACAGAAACTTGGTAATGGGATCAACATTATTGTGGCTACTCCAGGCCGTCTCCTGGACCATATGCAGGTAGAACCCTGTTAGGAACTGCCTCTCTTATTGTCTTGTGTGAAACATAAACTTAACAATTGACAGTTTTCTTTCCCTTTGTTTTATTAGAACACTCCGGGGTTTATGTATAAAAACCTGCAGTGTCTCGTCATTGATGAGGCTGATCGTATCTTGGATGTTGGGTTTGAAGAGGAATTAAAGCAAATTATTAAACTTTTACCAAGTAAGTAGGTAGCATGCACATATGGCTTACAAAGTAGTTAGAAGTAGATGATTGCTGTTCCTGTAGGAAAACTATTGTATTAAAACAGAACTTTACCATGGCTAAGTGAAGAGGTTGTGCCAGTCAACTTTAGAGGTAATTTGTAATACATGCATCAAACTTACTATTGACTTTATATAGTAGTTTTGCCATTTCAGAGGTTATAATACAAGTTGAATAATACTAACATATGTCTCATTCCGTCCTCTGCCATCTTACCTTCTTACCTTATGTACAGTCTCCCAAGTAACCATAGTCTGCTTGTCTTTTATATTATAGTTGATTTGTACTTATCTTATACTATTGCAGCATATCTGTAATAAGGCCATAATCCAATTTATTGTGTGACTTATGTTTTAATGCATTATCAAAGTATATAGTTGACATATTAAGCTGTACATATTTAAAATACTCAGTTTTCAAAAATTAAAAGTCGTTGACATTTGTACCCCTTGGAAACCATCACTGTAAGCACGATAATGAACTTGTCCCTCATCCTCAAAAGTTGATTTCTTTTTACGGCCTTCCTTTCCTCACACACCTAATTTCTCTGCCAGGCAACTGATCTGCTCTCTGTCCCTGTAGATTAACTTGCATTTTCTAAGATATATGTAAGAGGAATCATGTAGTAAGTACTCTTTGCTCTGGTTTATTTCACTCAGCAAATTCTTTTGTGATTCATCCATACTGTGGCATATATCAGTAGCTCTTTTTATTCCTCTGTATCATTCCACTGCATGAATATACCAGTTGTCCATTCAGTTGTTGATAAGCGTTGGTGGATGTTTCTGTTGTTTACAGCTTGGAACTATTACAAATAAAGTAGCTATGAACATTGATCTACAAGTCATATGGGCATATATCTCCTTTTCTTATAGTAACTACTTAGGAGGAATGGAGCGGGTAAAGTTTTAATCACCCCAACTATTCAGGTGGGTTAGGGCGGGGTGGAGGTTCTTTGTTTTGTTGTTTTGCTGGTACTGGAACTTGAACTCAGGGCCTCATGCTGTACCTCTTGAGCCTCATCACCAGACCTGTTCAGGTTTTTGAAAATGAGATTTGGAAATTTGTTTTTCAAAGCATTTGTCCATTTCTTCTAAGTCATCAAATGTATAAACCTAAAGTTAACGGTGTGTGCTTCTTACCCTTTGTAATATTTGTAGAGTCTATAGGAATAGCACCTCCCCTGTTCCTTACATTTCTACTTAGGGTGTTCGTAATTGTGAAGCAGTTGTAAAGATTTGGGCTATTTTCATGTATGTCTGTTTCAGCACGCAGACAGACCATGCTGTTTTCTGCCACACAAACTCGAAAAATTGAAGACTTGGCCAGGATTTCTCTGAAAAAAGAGCCATTGTATGTTGGTGTTGATGATGATAAAGCTAATGCCACGGTGGATGGTCTTGAGCAGGTACTTTTATAAATAAGTTAAAACTGTAAGGGACATATTTGATACAGCCTTGTAATAATTTAGAAGTTTTCAAAAGAACAAATGGGTCAATGAACTGTAGCGTAGAAAATTTGGACATTGGGTCTCTAACTCAGTTGGTACTGCGAATCAGAATTCCTGATTCAGTCACCTCTCTTCTCAGTTGATGCTGCTTGCTAAGTGGGAAGCATTGTTAACCTTGGCCAATTTCCAGATCAGTAAAACGGCTTTTAATGATTCCTGTAAGGTGAGCTCTTGGGCACACATGCGTGAAAGGCAGAGTTAGAAAAGAGGCGACAGGTGCAAACTGGGTTGATGAAAACAAGAACGTTAAGGTTAGGTCTTTTGGTGAGTCAAGTATTTTTCTTAATTAGATGTTGGTTTAGGTTTTAAATGCTGTTAGAAAGCCCTTGAAATATATGTGCTGTTTATCAGTGTGTTCAAATTACATTGGTTCATGAAGGTGAAAATATCTACCTGAGTAATTTGTATCTGTTTTACTTGGACATTTCTAGGGATATGTTGTCTGTCCCTCTGAAAAGAGATTCCTTCTGCTCTTCACATTCCTCAAGAAGAACCGAAAGAAGAAAGTGATGGTTTTCTTTTCATCCTGTAAATCTGTGAAATACCATTATGAGTTGCTAAACTACATTGATTTGCCTGTCTTGGCCATTCATGTAGGTGATTACAATGAACTTAAAAACTGGGTTATGCTTACAAAGTCCTATCTGTTGTGTTATGGGAGTTATTGCTTTCTCCTCTGAACATAATTCTGAGTAATTTGATCACCATTGGGTGATAGATGCTGTATGGAGGGATGAGGACTTCAAGATGAGTAGGAGACATTGTCCTTGAGAGGCTTGCAGTCAGGTTGAGGAAATAGGACACAGTGTAGGGAGTATATTTGAAATAAAGTGGGGTAACAACTCCATAGTTGGGAGTGCAACATGTAAACTTCCTAGAAACAACTCCAGATTCCAGCTTTAAAAAGTGTGTTCTGTTTTTAATCTAGGGAAAGCAGAAGCAAAACAAGCGTACAACCACATTCTTCCAGTTCTGCAATGCAGATTCAGGGATACTGTTGTGTACAGATGTGGCAGCGAGAGGGCTGGACATCCCTGAAGTCGACTGGATTGTTCAGTATGACCCTCCAGATGACCCCAAGGTAACTACATCCCTGGGTGTCTTTAGAATGACTGTACTTGAGTGTATTTACTGTCCTGGTTCCCTTATTTCACATCCATGAGGTTTACCACAATGAGCAGCCCTTGCAGTACTTCTCTGGAGTAGATAAGTGATTAGGGCTTTGCAGGGCCCACGGAAAGTGCAGGGAGCTTCAGGGGGCATCAGTGGGTTTTAAGGTAGGAGCACTAAATCCTGGTAGTGATGTGTCCAGACTAACAGCTGTTTTAAGGAAATAACATTTGCATAAGTAGTATTTGAAGTATTACATATTCACAATAGTGGGTTATAATAAACTGTTGACTAGCATTTAAAAGTGATGTGTCAAAACCACTTTGAAGATGGAAGATACTTACACTCAATTTATTAGATCACGATGTTACTGGGAACGTTGTGTACAACCTTCTTTTGGCCTTTGTCATTGAACTATTGTGGATGTTGTTTGCAGAGGGATTGTGGGCCCAGCGTTGTAGGGAGTATGATGAATGTTAGTGTAGCCCACCCTGCGGGAGGCACACCACCCCAGTACAAGTGTGCTGGGCACAGCTGTTGTGGAAGTCAGTGTCTGAACCCCTTTTTCGTTCTCTACCAAAGGAATATATTCATCGTGTGGGTAGAACGGCCAGAGGCCTAAATGGAAGAGGTCATGCCTTGCTTATTTTGCGCCCTGAAGAATTGGGCTTCCTTCGTTACTTGAAGCAATCCAAGGTAAAAGATCTTTGCTTGGAAAATCTTGAAAGATTCCTCTTGGCATAGGGATTGTTAGCAAGTGCCATGTCTAGATGTGTTACAGGGATCTTAGGTCAGGGCAGTGCTGTGAAAACAGTATAGTAGGTAAGCAAGGGAGGTTTTATGTGCTTTTGACCCAGAAAGTGTGGGTCACATTCCCCAGCTCCATGTTAGCAATGGCTTTTATGCCCCAATCTCTCGTTCCCTGTTTTTTGCAGCCCTGTGTACCCAGTCATCTTTGCCTCCTGCAGTCCTGTCTGCATCTCCTTACCCTCGTGTTTTTCCTTCTTGCCTCGTGTGAAATGGTGGGATCCACATTGGCTCCTGCCCCTTTCCTCACCTCCTGACCTGTCTCGCTTGCAGTCAGCACTTACAGTCTCAAGACTCTTACTTATAACTTCATCCCTCCTCCTATTTTCCTACCACAGTGTCTAAAGTGGCTACTGCTGCTGCCTTCCCCCAGCCTCCCTTTTGGGGAAAGTGCTTTATATTTTTCCCAGTTACCTCCCACTCGATCTCCAACCAATATATCTGGCTTTGGCCTCTCCATCATACCAGAATTTAGTCCATCGAAACCATAAGTGGCCCCTTTGTCGCTAGGCTTTATGGACTTCTGGCAGGCTCTCTCTATGATACTTGCCTTCTCAGCAGTCTTACCAGTGAAATTCCCCCCGTCCCAGCAACTTGGTGCAATTCCTGAAGTTGCCCTTCAGCCTATGCACACTGTCTCTAGAAGCTGTTCTCCTGGTTCTCCAGAATGTTCTGGTTTAACTAGCTGCTGCCTCTTCAGGGAAACAATCCCTAATCTCCAGCTCTCGACATTTCCATGGCTCAAGTGCTCCTGGAGTTGTTACTCCATCATTTACCTCTCTTCTCTACATACCCACAAGACTTTAAGTACTTGTTCTAAATATAGGGTCTAGACCATGGGCACAGGTCTTGTGATTTTCCAGTTACCTAATAAATGATGGCTGATAACAGATCTTTGTGGGAGCTTGTGGTCATTATGGCTTCTGATGTCACAAACCCCAGTCATGGGCAAGATGGTGTTGGTCCCTGCTCCTGGCATGGAGGAAAGGGACTGATGGTCCTTCTCATTAGAAACTCCAAGCTTCTTCACTCCAAATAGCAGGACCATAGTGATCCTAGAGGAAACTGTTTCACCAGTTCATTGCCCTGTTCAGTTCCTCCCTTCAGCCTTCCAAGCCGAAAGAAAAGGCTCCTGATCACGATTCATGCAAATTCAGTAGAGCAAAGGTGGGACTTTCCATTGATGTTGGGAGGCTTCGGTGCCCATCCTAAATGGATTCCATGGCCCAGGCATCCTTTCTCTGTCCTCAGTACCTAGTGAGCTGCCCTGAAATCACACTGCATGGTGCCATCACTTTATTCCTGTGTTTGGAATACTGTTCACTTTATCCATCCAACAGTCTGAGTGCTGGTCATCCTGCATCACTAATCTTTATACTTTTGCTGTTTTCTAGGTTCCATTAAATGAATTTGACTTTTCCTGGTCAAAAATTTCTGACATTCAGTCTCAGGTATGCTGCTCTTTTTTCCCTTTTATCTTTGAGTAAGAGGTCACCTTGTCACCATGGGGTTTTGGTGAGCAGTAGGTGCGCTCCAAGTCTTCCCTTTCATAAGATGGGGGCCTGGACCGTGGGATCCTTAAGGTTTCTTAAGGATGCAGTTACCAGGTTGCTGTGTTCTCTTCCTCCTCTCAGTCTGTGCCCTATACAACTTGACATCTATCTTACTGCTGTGTAATTTTGCAAATAATCCAAAACCTAGACCTTGAGCAAGCATGTTAGAACAAATGTTTCTTGCAGGATAACTTTTTCTAATATTTGAGGTCTATTTTTTGTTTGCTTATTTTTATTAAAACCAGTGTTTCTGTTTCAGCTTGAAAAACTTATTGAAAAGAACTACTTTCTTCATAAGTCAGCCCAGGAAGCGTACAAGTCATACATACGAGCATACGATTCTCATTCTCTGAAACAGATCTTCAATGTTAATAACCTAAATTTGCCTCAAGTTGCTCTGTCATTCGGTTTCAAAGTGCCTCCTTTTGTTGATCTGAGTATCCTTTGTTTGTTACTAAGTCATGCTGGAACCAAGGGCCAAAGTCTTGATGGGCATTTCGGGCTTAGCAGCAAGTTGGTGTGTGCTTCAGATGCTAGCCAGAGACTTGGGTGTTCACCCTGGTCAGCATCTACCTGTCTGTCTGTGCTTACATAGAGTATAGAAGTAGGATGGAGTGAGCAAGGATTAATCACTGGGATGGGGATTACAGGAACAATGCAGCTTGTGACTCAGACTTCAAAAAGACAGGAATTTGACTGAAACTGAGATGCAGAGGTGGTTGTGCATTCCAGGCAGAAATACAGAGGTAAAATAGCAGACCTCATGTGGTTGCTAAGGCATCCCTGTCCATAATACTTGAAAGAACAGCTAAAGACAAAGGAAGGCCCTTCCATGTAGTTTAAAGCCCTTATAGCCATTGGAGGGTTTCATGCAAGGAAGTAGAAATTTTGACCAAAAAAAATGCCTCCAATTAATTCTTTCAGAATTTGTAATATGTGCTTTTTTTTGCCATATTGATAGCAGAAGAAACTACACCAGCTAAGATAAGATGTGTTATGATATAGTAATAACTGCTGAGGTGACCAGAGAACTAGATTCCAGGTCACCATCCCCATTCTAGACATTAAGTATCTACTTTAATGAATGAATATTAATGATCATATGACAGGAAGAACAGCTCCTTTGCTTGATTAAACATTTCTAAATCAAGTCTGAACAGAAGTGAAAGTCTTTTGTTGTACACTGGCAGTACTTTGGATTGTGTTCCTATTGACCTCGTGGCTCCTTATTTCTGCTTGTGTTGAATTTTATTGTGTGGAAGAAATAATTAGTGTGACTGTTAAACCTGGTTTTAAAATCATACTTGCTCATTTTGATCCACGAGCACTTGGCTACCTCTAATCTGCAGATTTGTTGCAGTCTCACATCCGCAGGTTGCCGTGGTATAGTACAGGGGTGACAGAGGAGCCGTGCTTGCAGTTCACCATCTGTGCTGCTTGATTTCCTTAACGTTTAACTGCAGATGTGAAGAGCAATGAAGGCAAGCTCAAGAAGAGAGGAGGTGGTGGGGGATTTGGCTACCAGAAAACCAAGAAAGTTGAGAAGTCTAAAATCTTTAAGCACATTAGCAGAAAGCCTTCGGACAGCAGGCAGTTCTCTCACTGAAGACAGTTTCCTTCCACCTTGACCTACTGCCATGAAACAACTCTTCCTTCCTTTTGCTACAAAAGAATTTTTATGTCCTTTAGAGTATTTTCAGTCTTTACTATGATAATACAATATTTTTTAATTTCAAATACTCCCCACCAAAAAATTTATCATTGTTTTAATATAATTAGTTTTGTGTCTTTCTGGTATGAAGAATTTTGTGGCATGGGTTACTATGCCAACTTGCCACAAAAAATGAGTTAGTATACTGGACAAGTGAATGTGATTCATCTGTAATGCAGAAAATAATCTGTTTGTTTTGGGGGATGATTTCTTGAGCCTCATGGTAGTCTGGACCCCCCTGAAAATGCACCAGGGTAAGATGGTAGTGCTTTGGGAAATAGCTCAGGTGCCCCTCAAAGTAAAGGCCTCACTTTTAAACCAAGTAGCTATTCTCCGTTTGTTTTTGCTTTTTGTGGTTTTGTTTTGTTTTGTTTTAACAAAACAAGAAATCACACTTACTTGTCACTGGCTTATTTTGTTTTTTGATAGTACTGGGGTTTGAACTCAGGGCCTTTCATTTGCTAGGCAAGTGTTCTACCACTTGAGTTACTCTGCCAGCCCTTGTCACTGGTATTTGAATAGAGTGCCCCGGCAGTCGTAACATTATAGAAGGAGGAACAGGACTGGGACTGTTGGCCCTCAATATTGCTGAGCAGTGTGGGTGTGATATTCTGTTTTCTGTTTGGTAACATAGCCGGGACCTTTTAAAAAATACTAATGAAGAACGGTACTCATTTAGATACTGCGAAGTGGTTTGGATTTGTGTAGCCCTTCCAGCTCTGCAGTGTTAAGAGATAAGACCATTACCAGTACTCTTAAGGCCAACTAATGACAGTGTTCAGGGGATATCCTTAGTTTCTTTGTGAGAGATGACCTCTCTCAGATCCGTGAAACAAAAATACATTTGCAGTGACATTTGAAAATGAATAAAGGGACTGAGTGTGGTCCCGCCCAGCTCATACCCGTAATCCCAGCTACTCAAGAGACAGAAGGATAAGTAGGAGGGTTGGGTCCAGGATGGCCTGGACTAAAAAACTAAATAACTAAATAAAAAGGGGTTGGGGGCATGGCTCACATGTTAGAATGCCCTCCTGAGGTTCTGAGTTCAAACCTCTGTATCACCAAAAAGAAAATGAATAGGTCAGAAAAAAATAGCTGTTAGTGATTTGGTCAAATGGGTTTTTTGTTGTAGGAGCACTTGATTTCTACTGTGTCTCCTGTATATAAGTACAAAATAGTTACATTTTATAGCAATTCATAACCAAAGTTGCTAGCATTTTGTGGCTGTGCCAGTTAATATACAAAGTCTCATTACAGGTAGTCACACATAGAACATCAGATGTAGAGGAAACAATTGGATGAAAGGCATTTCAGTGGGAAAAGAAAAGAGCTGTGTTTTACCTCTAGGTTTGACTGCTGTCGCCTTGGCTAGACATGGGTTTCAGATCTTGACTGCAGGTACCTACCTTGACCTCTTGGATTCCTAACATGTAGCATATGACTCTTCAGAACCATTTGTCTCATAAACAACTGTGTTTCAGAAAATACACAAAAGCAAAGGGAAGAATGTTTAATCACTGAACAGAAGGAACTGTTGACATTTAACATGCCAAGTTTTATATGTATGTGTATACTTTTAAATTTTTTATCAAAAACAAAGCCATCTTCTACCTACTACTTTAACCACCTTATTTCATAACACTTTTTGTGTAACCATTAAGTAATTATCCTACATTTTTATGATTCTGTTGTGTTCATCTTTGCTTTTGGCCTACAGGATTTAGGTCCTTAGACACCTGCTTGTCCTGTCTAGCTCTCCCATTCTAGTGCCCCAATGTGTCATGGTGCACTAGACCAAGACTTGCTTTTGCTGACCCCAGTATTTCAAATTGCAGATTTGTGAGAAAAATATGCCTGTATAAACTGAAGGTGGAAAGATTGGTCCTTACTGTAATAACATGTCTCAGGCCATTTTAAGTAGTTGCTGGGCACTTTGTCCTATCTATAGCAGGATGATCAAGGCGAGGAATTCTAGACACCCAGACTTGCTCAGCCCTGCCAGGAAGCAGGGTCATGGTAGCAGCACAGCAAGGCTCATTTACTCAGGGCACTATGTCTTCCTGTGCTAAGAGCACGGCTGCTGGTTGTAGATGTGGGTAGTTGGCAAGTGGGATTAAGTGGCTTCATCCTTGAATCCTAGAAGGCAGCATGGGTGGGGAGGGAGCCTAGCACATCCCAACACGCAATAGAAGCTTTAGGTTCTGTGGTCTGTAAGTGAGGATTAATCATTACTGTTATCTAATTTCTTTTTTAGTCTTAGCCAGTTTAGTGTAAATCTGTATTCATGATAACTGAAACAGGATCTTGTTTATCCATAAATTGCATAACAGTTGATGTGTGTGCCTAGAACTGCCATTCCTTGATCAGTGTCCAGCTATACCACTTACCAGCTTCTGTCAGCCTGGCTTCTGAGTGAAAATAACGATGCCAACTTCATAAGATGGCAAGAATCAAATAAGCTAACAAAGTGCTTAGGGTCGCACTTGGCACGGTGTTCTGTACATGTTAGATGTCTAAGCATCCTATATCCTGAGCAAGTTTGGGCCTCTAGATACAGATGAGATTTCTGATGGTCTGGATCTCTTTTTTTTTTAAAACTGGGCAATGAAACCAGGGCCTTCCACTTGCTAGGCAGGTACCCTACTTCTGCAGTTTTGTTTTTGTAGTGAAAGTGATAGTAAAGTTTATTAGGAAAGGAATGCACTTTCAACAAATTGGAAGTGGGTCATCTCTGCAGAGAGAATAAGAATGGCTTCCAGTCCCTTTTGTGTTGGTTATTTTTGAGCTAGGATCTCACTTTGTGCCCCAGGCCAACCTGGACCACAGTTCTCTTATTTGTGCTTCCCTACATAGCAGGGATGCTAGCCACACACCACTGTGCCCAGCCATTGCTTGAGATGAAGTCTGAACTTTTTGCCCATGGTATTGAACTGTGATCCTCCTGATTTCTGCTTTACAGGATTGAGGCACCGCAATCAGCCTAAATACCGTGGAATTCTAAGTACCAGACATGGGCTTTGGAAAGTGGTCCAATTCTGTAACAGCCCCCTAAGATGGCTTTCAAGTGGATCAATGTCATTTTTAAGGCTATTCTGGTTAATGCTGTTAGGTGAAGGCAACTGTATCCTAATTCATGGATTAAAACCCAGTTGGAAGACAATGATGGAGGGGGGTGAATTCAAGTATGATATATTGTAGGAACTTCTGTAAACGTCACAGTGTATCCCCAGTACAACAATAACTTTAAAAAAATAAAATTAAAAAAAAAACTGTTGGGTGCCAAAAACTATACTGAGAATACAGATAAATGTGGCCAGCCTCCTCCCTACATCCAGTGCTTATGATGGAACCCAGGACCTTGTACATACTAAGCAAGTGCTCTACCACTGAGCTATACCCACCAAGTCCCTCTTGGGCTGATTAAATCTAGAGGTTGTCAAACAATTACAATATGGTCTTTCAAATTAAATAAAAATGCAGATTAATCCAGGCCTGAAAATTCTGCATCCTCCTTGGGTTTCAGTGGTCTATAAGGTTTTCTTGTTACATCACCTTGAGATTGTGTTCAGTAGGCCTCTGGTGGAGCCAAGAATCTCTCCCAGTGAGTTTCATTTTCAGTTTTGCACACAACCAATCTAAAATCCATACATGTGCAACCTCTTACTAAAAACTCTGATCTTGTGAAGTGAGAATGCTGAGCACAGGAGATGGTGTTATGTGGGGAGCTGACAAGTGTATTGAAAAAGCTGCGTGTTTGAGTTTGGCACAGCCTCAAACCACAGAAGGGAGCAAGCATAGTTATGCCTGGTGAATTGCATGCTTGGGTTGGCACAGCCTCAGCTGCACAAGTGGGCAAGATGCAGTACAGCTGTTTTTTCCTTTAATGTTTACATTGGGAAAGAAGTTGTCATGGGTTCCTCCTGTTCCTGAGGATCGTGGTGTCGCCCCCTCCATGGAGAAATGCCTCTCCACCTTTTGTTGCTACTATACATAATAAGCTCACTGGAGGTGGAGGGGGCTGGTATGTCTCCCGACCATGCAGCCTACCTGGCCCCAGCTTTATGCATGTTTGGTCTTCTGGCTGTTGTCTTTTCTGGCATCTCCTGTCATCCCCAGTTAGGTTTCTAGGACAAGCTCTTGGGGGACGCGAGAGTGTTAAGTGTGTATAACAATCCACAAACTAACATGACCCTCAGGAGACATGCCTGCTTGGGCTTTACAGAGGGAAACAGCTGTGCTTTTGTTTGAATGCCTTGTCTGGGAAGAAGCATGCTGTAGGCAGACTGGCACCATGGCACCCTGGCACCCATACCTTCCTGAGCCAGACTAAGTCTTGGGATCGCTCAGCTGTGCTCCATTTAATCACTGTCAGTGTCCACAAAGGAGATGAACCCACTGAGCCACATGTCTTTGAGAAAGAAACCATTCTCCCCTCTGAATCTCAGCATCCACATCTGTCATATTGTGAGGAGAAAAATGGACATTTTTGGTTTGAGGGGGGTGGTTCCAGCTATGACTTCCAGGCAGCAGCTGTACTTAACACCAGAATGTGTGGCATTCCTCAAGCAGTGGTCCTGCCTTTACTCACCCTCATTCCTGTGCACTTTTTCAATCCTTCTCTGCAGCCATTTAATGTTTTTTGATTAATTCCTTTCCAGTGTAAGTCATCTAGAATGGCTTTTTGTTCCTCATAACTAAGAGCAAAAATGGAACTTCTAAGCTTCACTTTCTGTCTCTCTTCTGTGTATAAAATGTCCAGGATGCTTGCTACACTCATGCCCTCTGTAGACAGCATCCTTGCTCTTGAGCTTGGAGAAAGTGGTTTCCAGCTAAGCAAGGATATACCAGAGACAACAAGAGATAAGCTTTCCACCTCTAGGGACAGATCCCAGGAAAGCTGCTCTGGATCTGGTGTTTGGAGGGAGGAAAAAGTGATACCTTTGGTGTTACTCAGCCTCAAGAGGAGTATCTGCAGCTGGCAGGGCTGGGGGCTGTCAGACCTCACAGGCCAACAGTTCCTGGAGCCTGGCAGAACTTACACTGGGGTTCGAAACAAGTGGTTTCCCCATAGGTGCCTATTCATCCATACAAGGGGAGTAAGGAGTGGTATCCACAAGGAGTACATGGACTGTTAGGCAGTCAACTCAGAAATAAAAGAGTATTGATAACTGCTACTGAGGATAGACACCACAGTTGGCCTGAATCACCTTGGAATTCTAAACAGCAAACATGAGCTTTGGAAAGTGATCCAACTTTGTTAACAGCCCCCTAAGGTGGCTTTCAAGTGGATTGATGTCATTTTTAAGGGAAGAAACTCAGGAACCAGAAACATGACTTTTTTTTTTTTTCAAGGACTTACCTATGTATTACACCCTTTCCCACCATCAAGAGAGGAACAGATCAGAGGGACATTGGCCCTGCCATCCCCCGGGCGTGACCAGTGAGGCTGGTGTGAAGCCTGAGTGGTTCTAAGATGACAGAGGGCATGATGACCATGCACATGGGGGTGGAGAGAAAGACTGACTCATGAGCAAATATAAAAAGGCCAATGTGTGTGTGAACTTGAACATCTAACTTTGCCTCCTTAGTTCATTTTCCTCATCTAATTAACTGGAGATAATCCCTGCCTTACAAAATCTTTTTTTTTTTTTTGATTGTTGTGCTGGGTGGGAATACATTGTGGCATTTACAAAAAAATCTTACAATATATCAAAAATCTCATATTTCAGTTCACCCCCTCCACTGCTGTCCTTTATCACCCCCCCACCCCCATTCCTGGAATAGTTTCAACAGATATCATTTTTCCATTTACATTCATGTGAACACAATATTTGCACTATATTCACCCTCCCACACCTTTTGCCCACCCCTCCCCCTCCCACTGGCACGAACCCCCCCCACGCCGTGGCCAGGCAGGACCTGTTCCACCCTCCTCAGATTTTGTAAATGGAAAAAAATCACATTTTTATTTGTTTAAGATAGCTTTGCAGAATCATTCTGAGAATGAAATCATTCAACAAATGCAAGGCAGCTTTGGCCTAACAAACACTGAACTAACCTTAGTCCCTTTGTCCCTTGCTGTGAAAATGCTCTATTATTTTGTCTTTTATTGGCCAGCTCATCAGCGTAGACAAGTGTTTTTGAAGTCTTTGATTTAATTTCCTTACAGACCATTTCTATGTGTTGTACTTACATCTACCTCATACTGAGATTTTCTATATCTGTATGTCTCTACATCTAGAACAATGGCTCACACTTGAGGTCAGTTTGGCCCTGCAGGGGATATTTGGCAATGTCTGGAGACATTTTTAGTTGTCACAACTGGAAGATGCTACTAGCATCTATAGGGTAGAGGCCAGGAATGGGCTCAACATCCTACAGTACCAAGGATAGCACCACAATGCAGATTATCCAGCCCCAAATGTCAGTAGTGCTGAGGCTAGAAAACCCTGTGAAGACCATCCTCGAGAGTGTCTTTGTACCCTCATGTCTTACAAGCACAGTATGAGTTCAATAAATAGATATTAAACAGAAAAGAAGTCAGAAAGAGGTGCTGATGTATGGGGAGAGGAAGATAGACTTAGTTTGGAGTAAGTCAGTTTTGAGAATTCAGGCACATATCCAGGGGTAGCTCTAACATGGGGACTACACATCTGAAGAGAGTTTGGAGCAAGACATTTAGATCCATTCATTCATGCATAATCATTCTTTGAGTAACAATTTTGTGTGAGGCACTCACCTAGAAGTGTAGCAACAGAGATGAACAACGTGACCCCTATATGTGAGGAACTCATAGTCCACATAGAGAAGAAGACAGAAGAGTAAATACATCGTGAGCAAGCTTTTTGGGAGCCCAGAGGCTGGGCAGATAGAAGAACTCATGGACAACATGAGCATTGTCTGGAAATAGGAAGGAACAGTAATGGTGTCTTGGGTAAAGTAAGGGATGGGCAGGATATTCCAGGTAGCCAGAACACCTTGTGCAAAGAGAAAATGGTGGAAATGCCTGGCTGGGGCACAATGAGAGCACCATGTGGCAGAGGAGTAAGGTGAGCACAGCAGGTGGGACCAAGACAGTGCATTGATTATTATTCTATAATGGGAGATAGGTAGGAAGTATTTATATGTTTTTTGGAGACCCAGCATCTTTTTTTTTTTTTGTCGTTTTAGTAATAGCACCAATTTTCCTTGGAGAATTATCTCTGCTCCCTCTTCTCTGCCCCTATTGGAAGTGTAGGCATAAGAAAGAATGGGACCAATGAGGCTTTCTCAAATACAACTTAAAATTTCAGGAGTTGTAATGCAATCATTGGAAAAAATAAACAGTTGAAGTTTGTTAACTACAGCATCTGAATCCCAGTGGGATTGTCAAATAATTTTTGTGTCCCACCCCCAGAGCTGCTGGTTTCTGACTTCTCTAAGTCAGATTCTCAAGCTTTCTCTTTGATTCCATGAGCCTTTTTCTAATTTTTTTTCTTGAGTTAGGTAATCACTTTCTGTTACTTGTGACCAGGGCACCTTAATAAAGTCAGAGAGATCAAGTACAGAAAGGAAGCTTTCCAGTCACTATAGCAAATACCTAAGATAATCAACTTTCAAGAGAAAGGGTTTATTTTGGCTCACAGTTTTGGAGTTGCGAGACCATGATTGGCTAGCCTCTTTGTGTTTGGGCCCATGTGAAACAGTACATCATGGCAGCAGCCTGTGGCAAAGCAAGACAACTCACCTTATGGCCAGGATGCAAAAGCGAGGGAGAATGAGAAGGAGACTAGGGTCACACAATCGCTTTCAAGGCATGCCTTCAATAACCTAAAAACCTCCCATTAGGCCTCACCTCTTA